TAATTTTCGTGAATTTCAACACAAAACGATATTCTTCTGTAGAAAAAGTTTACAAGAAGTAAAACTAAAGTGTGACAAAAAAACCCCGTGGAAATACTGAAATAGCAGGCAGGGCCTTAAACAGATTTACCCCCAAAACACGATTGAATCACGCAATCATCTAACACTGTCTTGAATGTCTACTCTGGTAGTCGATGTTAACAACGCAGTAGACAACAGGCCACCACTACTACTGCACCAAAAAAAAATAATTCATGAATTTTAAATTAAATTCTGTACTCTACAATGTTCAGCTGACATAATAACATTGTTTTTTATAACTTTTAAGCCTATAGGTTTCATTTTTAATGTGTTACTGGTGAGTTGTGACTTTTCTCCCTGTCCTTCAGCCATTCTCACTCCCCTTGTAATCATTTCTTTTCTCAACTCTTATCACCTGAAAGTCTTAAATTGAGGATGATGAGTTGTAATAAGTCCGTATGCATAGAATATTTGATAAACACTAAGCTTGTAGTTTAACCTGTGTGGGAACATGGCCATTCTTAACAATGAAATTAATGGAATGCAGGTCAATCACTCACTTGGTCTGAGTTCACTTCCCAGTCAATATACTCCCTTGAACCTCGCGTAACGGGAAGCGAAAAGGTGAAGAGGGAAGTTTAAGGTGTGAGGATAGCAACTCCACATCATACAAAAAGAAACTTTAAACCTCAGAGTAGAAGCTTGGAGCACTATGTTCCGCTTGGAAGGCAGAGGATTCCAAAAATATATAAAATCAACGAATATGAATCCATGATATATATGTGCAGTGTTTTTAAGTTTATCATTCCAACCATAGTGTTATAGATACTTTAATTATGATTAATATTGTTACTCCCTTGGAATCTGAAGGACTTCAGCAACACATCTCCATCTTCTGATGTTCTCCACTAACCTCTTCACTTCAGTCTGCGATTGCCCATAATCTCTGGTCTTCTCCCTCCCCCAAACAAACGATCTCTTCTACGTCATCCTCTGACGACCCGCTCGCCGTCTCTTATTCAGGTTTTACTTGAGTGATGGCGTGCATTAAGTGCAATGTCATTCAACGGTCTCCTAAGTGACGTGTGCCTAATCCACCTCTATTTTCTACTACATATTTCTTGAGCAATAGGTTCTTGTCTGGTATTTTCTTTAATTGGCAGGGTTTCTTATTGCTAATTCTTTGTGACCAACCAGCCATTCGATCTTCAGTATGGATTCAGGCTTTGAAGGCAGCTGTTGATAAAAGTCCATACTGGCCTGTTCGAAATGCTTTCCGTGATTCACCTTTCTGTTGAAAATCTGAACGTTGTTCTCCATGCTCACTGAGTGAAGCAGACAATTTCCAAACCGATTCCAGATTGATTAAAGTGTGTCTCGCTTCTCCAATTCTGAGTGACCGGCTTTGACATCTTTTAACTTGTAGCTGAAACAATGCTTCCTTGCCAGATAAGTGTAGAAAGTAACCGCTTTCAAATTTCTCCCGTTGATGGGGATTGGGAGTGTGTGTGTTGTCGGTTGGCGGGTTGGTTGTCTTCATCACCTCACTTTTCGCTATGTTCTCTGTAAGTCTTGTATTCGCTGACTGTCTACCTGCCTGCAAGTCTTCGAGTCTATGTATGTGATGTTGGACAGAAATCGCACATGCACGAAATCCAGATCTTCCATAATCTTTTTACAAGTCCAACGAATTCCTGTCTTTTCACTCACTCCCAACACACAGTCTGATTAATGGTCTAGTCCACCACAATGTGGAATATCATTGTGGGTGATAAATGGCAGTTGGTCAGATTTGTCCTACTCCTATATTTACTTCAAAGTCAGTCTTTTCAGAGTTTTCCGTTGTCGATTAGAAAATAGTTTTCACTGACTGCTTAACCCACTGGCAAATACTACTCTTACACTTATATTCACATCACCTTATCTCAAAAAATCAATGATATATCCATTTTTGACTTATTTTAGCTTACGTCATGAGCAAACTACTGTGGTTAACAATTCTTTTCTTGACTGTATTCTCCAACTTAATTCTGATCGATTTTTAAAATCCTTGAGCAGATAAGTAGAATTCAGAAAGGTCTATAAATCATGATAAGCAAAACTGATTTATGCATATGTATAATAAATGGCTAACTTAGGTAGAACAGACTGAAAGGATCAATAGAATACAGAGAATTTATCAGTTGGACTTCAACGATGATGATAAGACGAAAAAATAAAAGGAAATTATGAAAACTGACTCAAAACTGAAAAGTTTACGTAACAAGAATATTTAGAAAAAAAATTGAAAAAACAACAACATTGCAATGAAGGATTTCATCATGAGCTGACATCAGTTAGAAAAGTACTGGAAAACCAGCAAGGAGTACTGGACAGCTGTTTCGCCCACCTAGTTTAAGAATCTTCAGCGGTACGCACCCACACCCCTGGGTTCGAACCCAGGAGCTTTTGGTTACACGGCGAGCTCGTAGACCACTGAGCCACCGGGATCCGATCCATTGGTCCTTCTCTTTTTTCAGTTTATATAAAGCTATAAGTCTGCTTATAATCGTGAGCAGTTTCGATATATATAAATATATATATATATATGCTGAAAATTCCGCACTGTACCACAAGTACTGTTTCTGGAATAAAAGCGAAATTATTATATTGATATCATATCATGTCTTATGTAAATGCTGGACTTCTGTGTTGTTTGAAGCATTGAAAACGTCCAGATTTACTCTTCAATGTAGCAGCGTGAAGTACAGAATAAAAAGCCATGCAGTTTTATGTCACATTATCCAGCTGGTGTAATTTCAAACAGGTCAGTTTCATTTCCTAATAATCTATAGTTTATTCCGTTAACCTCTACATTTCTCAGAATATAAGGTTGGAGGCGAAGTTAAAGGTCTTTCAAAAGGTGACCTTCAATAACCTATCATACAGAAACATGTTGCTGTGAAATAACATTCCAAATCATTTCATACGTGCTTATTTGAACTTGGATACGACAGATATATTATTAGTGTTTCCTTAATTTCCTAGAGGAACGTAGGGTTTCAGATGCACGCCTTCATTGAATTCTGTTGATTATTTACAATTGGTGGATGGTGGCTAGCAGTGGAATCCAGGATGCATATTTCGTCCTAATTGGGACTCGTCAGCTGGATGTACCTGCATTTCTCAGTGAGTGATGATGTTCCCACCGAGGCTCGAACCCAGTACCCATAGTTTCAAACGCCAAAGCGTTATCCACTAGACCACTTGGGCCACGAGAGTCACCTCTTGTGCAACGGGTCATATATTAATTATTGAATTGAATTCTTGATTTTCCCGTCGATTGATTGGTCCGAAGTGTTCGGTCTCAGGTTGACATGTCGGCTTCTTTTACAGATGCTTCGACGATGTCTGGGTATTTAATTGGTGTACAATTGGTGGATGGTGGCTAGCAGTGGAATCCAGGGTAAAGCGTATTTCGTCCTAATTGGGACTCGTCAGCTGGATGTATACAAATCAAATCCCCAGACATCGTCGAAGCATCTGCACAAGAAGCCGACATGTCAACCTGAGACCGAACACTTCGGTCCAATCAATCGACGGGAAAATCAAGAATTCAATTCAATAACTGTTAATTATTTGTTATACCAGATATTGGCCAATCCATCTCCATTTCTTCTTGCACATTTTTCGCACAATCGGTACCAGCTGGGTTAGTTTGTTCCCAGAGGTTCCTGTAGCTGATCTTTTCTGGCCAGGTATCTAATCCTGAGAGTTGAGCGAAGACAGCTGTTGATGAGAGCATACAGTGGTGTGCATGAGTGTATGGGTAAACAGTTGTTTAACATTTGTTAGTCTCACCATAAAAAAAACATATAGACAATCAGGAATTTGGATCAAGCATAATTAATTAGTGATACATATCCATTCATATTTATTATTCAGGACTTGCCATGCATCAGTTAACAAGATCACACCTTCACATCTGTTCAAACTGTTGGGATTCATGTATATATGGAAAGCTTCTGCAGTCAATCAGTCTTTCTTTATACAAACCAAAACTTTTCTGTAGAACCCTAATCCTATCACCGAAGTCGATCTTGTGTCCCATTTCTATTGAATGCAGTGCAATCGTTGATCTATTTTTTTAACCTCTTCTATAAGTCTACAGACGTCTTTGGAACCAACTTTAGACACTGTTTATGCTCTTTCACTCATCATGCTCAACCTTCTCTTTTTACCAGTCCTATTCTCGGTTTAGCGAGGTAAAGGAAGGTGTCCAGTGGCTGGGGATCGAACTCCGAATCACATATGGCCGTAGTTGGCGAGCATTCTACCAGTGTGCCAAATTCATCAAGATTTTCGACAAAGATAATTTTTTTTACATATGATGTCTACTTCTCACTCGGTGGCGCCCAGTCATATTATTGAACTATTCGATCAAATCTTGATCCCAGGCCTGGAAAAGATCTAATTGAAAAAAAACAGCAATATTGTTCGTTTAATATATACCTTATTCTAATATTAAGAAAATAGGAAACATTTAAAGGTTTAAACTATTATTATTATCATTATTTCTAGCAAGAATGTCTAAAATGGTGTTCATCTCAATTGAGATATAAAATTACCCTAAGGCAACAATACATACAATACAAAAAAAGCTGAAAAATTTATTTTTATGCTGTCGCAAAAACTGAATTCATTCATTTAATGTGTTTTTGGTATTCAAAATTATCCTGTCTTCTGGCTCGTGATGTTTTCAAATGAATTTTTCCCTCTCAATAATTTAATGTATGTACTATTTTCTAGACAAGATAGATGGTCTTCCTATTTTGGCTGAGGAAGAAACAGTTACTTTCTAAATCAGTTTTACTTATTTTTTTTTAAAATTATTTTCCATCGGTTTGATTTTCGATTATTTATATAAATATGTATATTTCTTGTCCTCACGCTAAACTACCTAATTCTCTTCCTCTTCTTATTTTGCATACCTTCTACAGGACAATCAGCTGAGAATAATCAAAATCAATTTTGCTCAAAATGTCGACAGGTTAATGGAGTTTGTTATTATTATTATTATCAACATAATAATAATAATAATAATTATCATTCTCCCTCCTCATCTTCATCCTCGTCCTCACCCTCTTCTTGGTTCTCCTTCTCTGGTTCTTCTGCTTCTGCATCACAAACAACTAACTCAGAGGGATTTAATCCCTACAAGCGGTATATGTATAAAAATCATGACCTTGTTCCATTCACTAGTCAAATAGATACAGTGTTTAATGGATTTTTAAAATATGCTCATAAGTAAGTAAAAATATTGATTGATTGATTGATTGATGATGATGATTTCAGTGTGATTTTTATTTTTCATACATTTGATTCCCTTGATAAATTTCGATAAAGAAAGGAAGACGAAATTTCCAGTATAAAATGATGACATCATTCTACTTCACAGGTTTTCGTCAGCTGCAGACTACCTGAAATGACAATGGTTATATAGATGATGATAACATACTTTAATGTTCTAGTGGTGGTAGAAAAGGGGATACTATAAAATTGACGCATCTAAATGAAAGCATAACAATGTTTTTAGTTTAAGTTTTCATCATCAATTTATACGCTTTTAAAGTTGAAAAGAGGGGGAGGGGTAAGAGAGAAAACAGAAAAAATTGATTAACAGAACAGTGTTAGCCTTTAGGTTCACATAGCAACTCAAGAAACAAAAACCGTTGCAGTTTATGAGATTAGGATTTGTTCAGTGAGTTGAGATCACTGAATTAGATGACTAATCAAAATCAAAATTCTGTTACCAAGGGAGTGAGAGGTTAATCACACTGTCTTTCTGTATGCATAAGTCTGGTTTAAGTCGTTTGATTGCTATTGCTTCGGCAAATCATAGTAAATTTGCTGTCCTTTGTCTGTTTAATATTTTGAAGGACTAAGAGATCTCTACGAGATGTCCGGTATCAATAATGTGTCTGGTAATTACACTCTGGGAATATCTGCTTCCTTTCAGGCACAGGTTTTTGGGAATATGTTCAGAAAACCGGATAGAAGCCCTTTTTTCTGTCTTTCCAATGTACTTGCTCCTGAAAGTGCACGTGAATTCATAAACGCAGTTGGAGGTGACATCAGATTTTTATTTGAACTTAGTTATTATATGTATGTGTGGAAGAATGCTCTACATATATTATGCTGGTCATGAGACATGGCAAGTTTGAAATTTAGGAACCTTGTGAGTGAGTAATACGACGTGGTATTAATGTGCGTCGGTGGCACAGTGGTTAGGACTCTTGCCGACCATGCACATGGTCCGGGGTTCGAGCCCACGCCGGCGCACACCTGATATCTATGGTCGGCCTGCAAAATTTCGGCTACCGATATCCATGCTGAAAATTCCATACTTGTACCAAAAATACAGTGTGGAATCAAGCTGTAAATCAAAAAAATACCGCTAGGAGATTTGACTGGTAGACAGATTATCAGACCGCTGTAATCATAATACAAGTGATACCAAGGTGTCAAACTGCTTAGATCGGTCTGTTTTCTATCACTTCTTATCATAATGAATTAGAAGGAGACAAGCAGGTTTTTATTTTACAGTGAGGCTATCTGAGATAATCTATTGGAGGTCACTGATTCGAATTATAAAGTCATGTGGTTATTTGATAAGAATTCTTGCTTACCAGTTTTTTACTGCTCAACGAAACGACAGAGTTTTTCTGATGCTTCACAAATTGAAGCAAGAAATCCTAGTGTCTTTCAGGAGGCAACATCAAGGAATTCTTCTTATAAGAGTTTTTTTTGTATTTCCCAATGAATGAAAAAGACTTAATGCTACTGTTGTGTTTTATTGACGTTTATCTATTTGATGCTGCTAATAACTTTATTAATAATAATGATTTTTCCTTCACGTTGCCAGTGGAGCATAGGGCTCCAAGCTAGTGGCTTGAAGTTTCTGTAGCAGTGTTTAATTTTTACAGGATGGGGTTGCTAGCCTCATGCCCAACCTTTCCTCTTTACCAGGATTATTTCTGGCTCAGTGAGGTAAAGGAGTGCGCAGGCCGGGGGTCGAACCCCTGACCACATGCATGGTCGGCAAACGTCCTAACCGGTATACCACCGACGCACGCTAATAACTTTATCAAAGTATTATTCTTAAACCAGAATTTAAAAAATCTCAGCATATATATATATATATAAAAATTTAATCATCGTTCATGAGCAAGGGGGGGATTTTTTAATTTGTTGTCAAATTAATTAATGTGTAAAACTTGATGGTTGGAATAGTAAGTAATTTCATATTAGTTTGTTCATTAGATGCATCACACAGTGAAGCAGTGTTAGTATTAACTGGATGACGTTTCCCACAAAATGTATTCTTCATATTCATAACATCAATTATAATCACACGACTTCGAAAATTGAGTTTTATAGTTTTCTCTGTCCTGTCCAATTCGTCATCCTAGGGATAGTAGAAATTTCCAGATATCTGAGTGAACAGCTGTTGAATCATTCCTATTACACGTACTCTCTTCAGTTGATTCGATAACCAAAGCTTCTGTTATCAACCTTCCTCACTCGGCACCTTATTACATTCGATTTTTTGAAACTGTCATCTTACTCCGTTCTATTTTATGGTTGGTTGTGTGTAATTGCATGTAGTGAGTGCTATACCTGAACTATTCTCTAGATTTCTCATCTTATTCGGGTCAACTAATCTAGATTTTGCTGCTAGGCTTTTATGCTTGACTAGTCTGACTGCCCCTGTTCTACTTCTTTGAACTAGGTATTTCACCTGACGATCATTTCAGCAGGGTGCTAAATAAACTAAATTGTTTTGTTCTGAAGGTTCCACAGGATAGATCCTTTACCAACAAAGCTTGTTTCTAATTGAGTTTGCGGGCAATTTGAATACCAGCCACTTTTATTCCTCCCTGTATTGTTAGGAATTCTGCGTCAGGCGGTTTCCTTGGTTCCTTACTTGTATGGAATTATTACTGGTAATGTAGATTCCTCAGTGTTGTTGGTGTTGTCTTGCGCATATTTGACATCCATGTCATCATTATTATTAACACTATCACTATTTATTTTATTCTTAAATTTCCCCTACATACTTTCTGACTAATTTATCAGGATAACTATTAAGTTTCAAATATTCGCTTGAATATGGGGATTTCCCGTAAACACTAGTGCTCAAATCCCCGTCTTCTTTCCTTTTTACTCCACAATCTAACATTGAAATCTCCGCTTTCTGACTTTAATTGTTGCATTCAAACAAACAAACAAACTCATTTAAGAAAGAAGCTTTCTCGGTTAAAGAATCTATCCTGTGGAGCCGTTGAAACAAAACAATTTAGTTTATCTAACACCATGCTGAAGTGATTGTCAGATGAAATACATAATTCAAAGCAGTAGAACAGGGACAGTCAGTCAGACTAGCCAAGCACAAAAACCTAGCAGCAAAATCTAGATTATTTGACCAAGAAATCTAGAGAATAGTTCAGCTACAGCACTCACAACATTCAATTAAACACAACCACACAAGAGGATAGGGTAGTATAAGATGACAGTTTTAAAACCTAATGTAACAGGGTGAACGGAGGGAGAGATTGATAACAGAAGCTTTGTTAATCGAATCACCTGCAAATACATGCAAATACATGATTTATCACCTGTCCACGCAAATATCTGGAAAATTCTACTACCCCTACGACGATAAATAGGCGAGAAGAAAGAAGACTGTAAGACCCAAGTTTCGAAGTTGTGTGATTTTAATTGATGGAATGATGACACACAATACATTTTGCACGAAACATCATCCTGTAAATAATACTTTTTCTTCTTCGCTGTGTGATACATCTAATGAACCAACTAGTATGGAATTACCAACTAACACAGTGCCCAAGTTTTACACATATATTGACGTTTTGGGCAAATACTTGTGAAGAAAAAGTTATTTCATCTCGTAACACTGTCAGGAGGAATAAATTTTCTTCATCTTTAAGCGATTTCTTCTTCAACTTTTCTCATGAAATAAAGCTATAAAAAGCAGTTTATGTATTAATCAAGTACAATCTAAACTATTTTTACCATACGCCATGGATATCAATCAATCTTTGCTAATCCTGGTCTTCTTGACCACTGTTTTTTTTATCGTACACACGTAAAGTTACAGCAGTTATTCTGACTATTACCAACCACTGTTACCCAGAAATTATTATGTAACGATAACATCTTATAACGTTTCCCCTCTGGATGTATTATATAAATGACTGCTATATATATATATATCATTAAACGTATTAGGAAACTAGTCTGTAACGAGTTGAATACATTGCATAATAACCAGTTGGTACAATAATTTGTTACGAATATCATTGGAAACCAGGTTATTACCATCATTATTGTTATTATTATTAATATTAATGATTGTAACTTCCCCTCTGATGACATAAACACAAAATTCCAGTGCCTCTTAGATAGGATGATAATTCAAATGATTCCTCTTCGTACTGCACAGGTGGGCTTAATTATATTCATTTATAAACAGATATAAGCTTCGAATTATGGTCTTCTAGCTAATAATAATAATAATAATAAAATGACAACGTTTCATTCTAATAATAATAACGAATTTTTCCATGTAATCCTACCAATAAAGTACACTATATAAATACATATAGTTTTCTCAGTAACCTTAATTAGTTTAAATGTCATGGACATATTATATGCTATAAAAAAAAGCTAAAAGCAAAGCAGTGCAAAAGATAAAATCACTTGCTGAATATCATTTTAGTAATTGGTGTAATCTTCAATGTATATATTATTATTATTTCCTTCAATTCCTAGAGGAACATAGGGCTTCAGCTACGCGTCTCCATTGCGTTTGGTTCTCTGCTAGAGTTTTCACCTGGCTATAAGTCTGCCCACATGCTTTCATACTCTCTTCACATGACCTTCCACTCGAGCAATGGCTTGTCTAGTGATGTCACTCACTTGATGGTTTCCTCAGGACATAGCTAATCCATCTCCATTTCTTCCTGCCTATTTGTTTCACAATCGGTTCCTGGTTCGTTCGCTCCCAGAGATCTTTATTGCTGATCTTTTCTGGTCATCTGATCTTGAGTAGTGAGCAAAGACAGCTGTAAATGAAGGTGTGTAGGTTGTTTGAGATGCTCTTTATGACGCGCTGGCCAAGTGTCTGGTCCATATAGTGAGTAGCACTGACTTCAGATTGGGGTTGAAAATCTGGATCTTTCTTCATGCCGAGTGGTGCTGTTGATCTCCACACAGACTTAGGA